TCATTACAAGAATATAATATAAAAGTCGATCACTTTTCGTTATTTTAGTATCAAACGAGATTTATATAAGCGTTTATCGTTTCTCAAGCTGCTTGAGATAATCTTATCTCCGGCTACTAAATTATAACTGTACAAAGATGGATCAATGGTGATAAAGGAAGAGAGAGAAAAAGGGAATCATAACCATTCAAAGGTGAATCAATTAATATAAGAAAATAAATAAATAAAACGACGTAGTTTTGAGATAACCGGAGATAAACTTATCTCAAGCTGCTGGAGAAATATTTTTCCCTTTATATAAATATAACATCTGATAATTACATTCTAATATATCAACCCAATTCCACAAAATACATGCACAAACTTGATTCATATTTATATATTTTTCTCCATCTAATTACAATTTATTATACTTCATTCTTTTTTTCTTACTTACACACTAATGTTGTCACCTTCTTATATGTGAGGATGTGTGATCTCGTGTAACACGCATTTCATTAAAACTTTTACCTAACTTATCTATGGGGGAAAGCACCATTTTAAAGTTTTTGGACAAAAGAATTGCCCGGTTAAAGCTGATTGGATAAGTTTTTCCAAAGTAATGCAGTCAAACATGTCACCTATGCTGACAGGACTAGTCCCGTCACTGATACTGACGGGACTCGTGCCACGTCAGCGCCACGTAGGCAATCCAATTACCGTAAATCTTCGGAAGACCATAACTTGTGACTCAGGTATTCAAATCAGATGATTTTTTTTTATTTCACATAATTTTTCGAGATTTACGCAATGATACCTCGTTTGACATATTTTATCTCCCACAAACATAGTTTGAATTTGTAACAATTGTATCACAATCACAAGAGTGTTTATCCATAAGACTATGTTTGTGGGAGATAAAATATATCAAATAGGTGTCATTGCGTAGATCTTGAAAAGTTATGTGAAATCAAAAAAAAAAAATCATCTGATTTGGATACCCGAATCACAAGTTATGGTCTTCCGAAAATTTACGATAATTGGACTGCTTACGTGGCGCTGACGTGGCACGAGTCCCGTCAGTATCAGTGACGGGACTAGTCCCGTCAGCATAGGTGACATGTTTGACTGCATTATTTTGGAAAAACTTATGCAATCAGCTTTAACCGGGCAACTTTTTTGTCCAAAAACTTTAAAATGGTGCTTTAGCCCTTATCTACGCAAGTCGTTAGTGGTTTTTGTCTTCAAACACTTAAGCAGATAATAGGATAAATTTTAGTCCAAGTTAGTGTGTTTGATTCGTTCAATTAATCTCAGTTTCAAATGTTCAACCTTCAAAGCATGAAGCCATTTTAAGTCAAGCTAAGCTACTTCATGCCCTCAGCAGCCAGCAGAAGAGGCACGGGTCAATCTGTTAAACATAGAGAACTCAATCTCAATTCCTATAAAAATGTTGTGTGTGTCTCGCTTCCTTCCACCACCAGATATTATCATATATATCACAAGCACATAAAATATTTATAGTTCTATCAAAGAATTAAACCCCTTCACAAGCTGACCAGTACAAAAGGAGCTTCTTCTTCTTCTTCTTCTTCTTCTTTTTTTCATTTAGTATAACTTACAGAGAGAACGTGGTCATGGTTTTCGCTTATAGGAAGACCCTCGTAACAGTTCTGCTGATCATTTTCACTATTTTGGTTGCTTCTACTCAATTTGGAGAAGCATGCAGGCCATCATCATTACAAGATAATAAGTGGTCGAGGCAATATGGGCTTCTCTTGTCGTCGGTTTTACGAGGCCCTGGCCCACCATCAGGTGGGGATCCGAAACACACAGGCTATAAAGGGGAAGCGGTGGGTAGCTAGAGGATACTAAAAGCGTGGTTGTACAAAGCTGAAGCTGCTAGCAACGAATATAAACCGCTCTTGTTAAGCTATTGGAGACGATAAAATATGGGATCTATTTATCTCATGTTGCATGAGATAATTATCTCATGCAATAGAAATAATATAGTGGGATTCAGTATTTTTAAATAAATAAATAGTGAACGCTACTACTTTACTTCTATTGCATCATATAATTATCTCATGCAACATGAAATAATTATTTCCCATAAACTATATATACATTCTATGTTGTACAAGTTTCAAGTGTGTGTTAGATTATTTCCTTTCTTCACTTCTGCAGCAACTCTATATGGTTGGGTTCACATCAATGTTGTCAAACTCGAGTTTCTACGTAGAAACGGAAAGAGATGATAAAAACGTAAAACGTAGAAATGATACGAAACGTAAAGTTTCTACTTTCTACTACTTAAGATCTAGATACAAAATTATATATATATATATATATATATATATATATATATATATATATATATATATATATATATATATATATATAATATCACATAATGAACATGTGTGTTGAGCAAGTCACTTATTATCTAATTTTTATTTATTTATTTATAACCAAGTATCAAAATTATAAACAGTGATAATAAACAAGTAACAAGTAATGATTAACAAATCTGCTCTAACTGCTTCATACACTCTGCAGATTATGGATCATCACTCATCAGGATATAATTTCACTTCTTTCAATGCACACAATGATCCAAAACTACAAAATGATTCTCATAGCATAATTTATAATAGAATTACAACTCTATAAGACATAATTAAAAACATATATCCAAACAAAAAGATATCAAGATATTGTGCATATAATTTGGGAGAAACGAAAATTGGGTTTCTTTTAATTTCTTATTTTGTAAATCTTTTTTTTTCTAAACATAATTTTAAGTAAAAACGGTCAAAACGATAAAAACGTAAGTTTTTACCGTTTTTACGTTTTTAGACGACGTTTTTACAAGTTTTTACTAAGGACAGTTTTTACTTGCGTTTTAACACGCACCACTCTAATAAAAACGTAAAGACGTAACTTTTTACGTTTTTACATTTGTTTTTGACAACAATGGTTCACATGGAATCGTTTTTAAAATAAAATTTCGTAATTTCTTGTATTCCCGTGCCATTGCAATGATATTACATAATAGTAATCTTCCAAAGCAAAAATGCAGAATAATTTTTCAGTTCAGTTATTATTGCATGTTAATTTTATAATTGTATTCTTTAAACATAGTTATATAAAATATAACCTAATTATACACATTAATATAAACAAAAAAAAGGGGGAAGTTATCCCCTAATATTAGCCTAGTGGTTGGGTTGTGTAAGTTAGGTGTATGTAGTGTAAGGATGTGTGTTCAATTTTCATGTAATGCAAAAAAAAGGGGGGAAGTTAGATGTATCAGTTCATGTTTTTTCAAAAACTCATACACAATATACTTAAATGGTTATTCTTCTTCATTTGTTTTGTCTTTTCCTTTGGGCTTAATGCCCTCCAATATACCAAAAAAAAAAAAAAAAAAATTAAATGGTGTTAGATGGTGACGGTAAATGTAACATTAGTTAGCTTACCAAAAAAAATAAAATGTAACAGTAGTTGAAACCAAGGACATTTAAAATGCTAAGAAAAGGTAATTCAACAATTCTCCTACAAAAGAAAGACATATAACCTAACATTAACATTCCCCTCCGCCGGCGGTCATTGAAATTTACGTTCAAATAACTCTAGCATATTCGCATTCATATATAATAATCATATAAAAGTAAGACTACATAAAGCATATTTATTTATCCAATGTATATATGTTGTGCAGTCTATTTCGTTCAATTAATTAAGGGAAAATAGTTATGCAGTATAATGCATTTATTTTCAAAACGACGTCGTTTTGGTATTGAAATCTTAAAAAATTATAAATATATAGACTATTATAACCCTGAAATAAATTAAAATCACAACAACACCATGATTTCCGTCCTAAAACGACGTCGTATTAAGCTTACTGCAGATAACTTATCTGCAGTAACTACAGAAAAAACGAACTCATTAATTAATAGGTTCCAAATTTGGAAGCATTCTCAGTCAAGGAAAATTACAGTAGAAATCAGCAGATGATGGACAAGTAAATTCATCGCTGCATCCGTCAAACAATAGAGAATTCAGTAATTCAAATCCTTATGTGTTGGATATTAAAGTGTAATGGAATCTCATATTAATTAATAATGGGTTAAATGAAATTTATACAAGTGAAAGAATATACGAATCTAATATTTTAAGATTTTAGTTTAAGAGATATAATTGGTTTAACTTAATCCGAGTGATGATTCCTAGCCATAGGCTCCACTTGGCCCATTTAATATTAGAGAGTGATATTAGAGTCGGGTTTGATTTGGGACTAGCAATGCCATAAGATTTTCCCTTGACTCACCTGACACACTATAAATATTGTACACGTCTATCTCTCACCTCACCTTCTTCCACAAAGCATATCATATATCACAAGTTCACTAACTTATTATCCAAAAAAACATAATCCTTTTTGTGTCAATTACTAACTAAGAGTGAGAACATGGTCATGCATGGCTTTCTCTTACAGGAACACCCTTGTCAAAGTTCTGCAGCTGCTGCTGATCATCTTCATATACAATGTTGGTTGCTTCTCCTCAATGTGGAGTAGCATGCAGGACATTATTTTTACAAGATGATGAGTGGTGGATCAGGCAATATGGGCTTCTGTTGCGATCAGTTATTATACCACGCCCAGCGCCACCATCTGAATCGGATCCGATTCACACCTAGGCCATAATTGAAATGGACCTGCATTCAGCATCAATCAGCCAATAAGAGTAATAAATAATATGATCCTAATAAGTTCATATCTAATAAATTTATATATCACACCAACTCTTAGACAACACAGTTGAAAACGCTCTGCTAGGGTTTTTCTTTTCATGGAGGAAAATATAGCTACTGAAGGCCAAACTTCAAAAGAAGAAGAAGATCTACTACGAAGGAGTAATAAGAGAAATAAAGATGGAGATAAGGTGTTTACTGAATGACAGTCTAGGGTTCCTAGACATGAATCTTGGATGGTTGACGACGGTAATAAAAAGATGACTTGGCGAGAGATGCTCATGCAACACAATGGTGAAACAGATGACTGGGAAGGAATGGATTGGAATTTGGAAGCAAATGTTGATCAAAGTGCACCTGCGGAGGAAGAGGATGTGAATTATGGTGGGATTAAAATGTGGACAGAGGAAGATGGTAGAACTCATTTTGGTTGTACTAGAAAAGCAAGAACAAGAATGCTGAAGGTTTGGGAAAAAGCTCTCATTGTAAAACTACTTGGAAGGAATACAGGAGTGGCTTTCATGAAAAAGAAGATTGAAATACTATGGGCTAGAGCTAGAAAGATTAACATTACAGATGTAGGTAATGGATTCTATGTGGTGCAATTTAGCAACAAAGATGATCTTCTTTTTGCTCTAAATGGTGGTCCTTGGATTATTTTAGGCCATTATTTATCACTCCGACGTTGGGAGCCAGCTTTTAGACCAAATGCTGCAAGTGTGATGAAGATTGCAGCTTGGGTGCGATTACCGGGTATCCCACTGGAGTATTATGATGAAGCCTTTTTCCGCCGTATTGGTAACTGGCTAGGTAAAATGTTGAAGATCGATAAGACAACTAATGAGCATGTAAGAGGACAGTTTGCTCGAATTTGCGTGGAACTGGATCTTGCTCAGCCTTTGAAGGGTGAATATGTGTTGGACGGAGCAACTAAACAGATAGAATATGAAGGCTTAGGCCTTATTTGTTTCCATTGTGGGCGCTATGGACATAGTAAAGATTGTTGTCCTGAGATACCAGTTGAAGGAAAGGATAATCAGCAAAATCAAGACGGGAAAAAAGATGAGGCTGAGTTTCAGAAAAATGGATTAGGTCCTTGGATGGTGGTGCAACGTCAACGTCGATCAAGAATTCAAACTCCAATGGCGGACAACAGGAAGCAGGAACCGGTTCGAAGGGAATCAAGGGAGTAATCAAGGGAATAATCAAGGGAGTAATCAACCGCAATCAAATCAGCCGGTTATGATTGATAATCAATCAAATTCCCGTTACGCTGCTTTAATGGGCTCTAATGAAGATGATATTACTCATGATATCCCAGCGACTAATCCGCATGCTGTTATAAATGATGTCAATATGGTGGGCCCTCCTGTTAATATTGATATTAGTACATCTCAAGGGTCCAACCACAGAAACCCTAGAAGTCGTCCTAATGTTGAATTACAGGAACACCCCAACCGATTTACGTTAAGTGGGATTACGACAGGTCATGAAAAAGAGAATCAAATAAATGGGAAGATAGTTGACAGAGGTACCTCAAACAATAATACAACAAACTTGAGGAGGCAAGTTGCGATTCATAATAGTAAGGACATTGGAGGTAAAAGCGGTGGAGATTCCATGGTGGCTAGGAGTACTGTTGCTGATTATAACAAAGATTGTTATCAAATGGAGGTGGATAAGGATGGTCAAAATATCAACGGCTTAGATCATGGCTTGTCCCAACCAAAAGCGCCTGATCCAAGTAGAGATAAAGGAAAGCATATCCCAATAAACCATAAGCTCAATATTGAGGTGGAGATGATTTCAGAATCTGAAATTCAGTGCAATGACAATGGGATGGCAGTGGACCCACAATCCTGCCAAATTACCATTGATTAATGTCTTTAGTTACATGGAATTGCCGCGGGGCGGCTAAAAAGTGCTCCAAATCAACGTTTCAAATGATGGTTCGAAGGCATAAGATTGAGGTGGCAGCTATTCTTGAACCTCGAGTAAGTGGTTCAAAAGCAAAACAGATAATAAAAAAGCTGGGTTTTAATAATTCAATAGTGGAGGATGCTCATGGATTTACGGGAGGTCTTTGGTTACTATGGAATAATGATAGGTGTCAGGTTCAAGTATTAAAACAGACCCATCAATTTATTCATGTTCGTGTTACATTGGCAGATCATCAAGCTTTTCTTTATACTGTTATCTATGCAAGTCCTAGAGAAGAAATTCGGAAGAGACTTTGGGATGATTTACTTCAGTTATCAGAAGATATCTCGGTTCTTTGGTTAATTGCAGGTGATTTTAATGAAATTGCCTTTCCAAGTGAGAAACGTGGAGGTGCTCCAGTTGATACTAGCAGATGTAATAAATTTTCTTCTCTTCTAACTGATATAAAGATGATTGATCTTGAAGGAATAGGTTCTAAATTTACATGGCGAGGACCAAGATTTCTTCATTTAGATAGAGTCTTTAAACGTTTAGATCGAGCTTGTAGCAATGCTGAATGGAGGTTGATGTTTCATGAAGGCCAGGTTCGAGTGCTTCCTCGTATTAACAGTGACCATAATCCTATCCTTATTACCTTAGAGCCAAGCAAAGTTGATGGGGTGGAACGCCCTTTCCGTTTTCATTCTTTTTGGTTGGATCATCAATTTTTTAACAATTTCAACAAGGAAAACTGGCGTCAGGATCAAAGAACAGTTGATAGTCTTCGTGATCTCACTCCTCTTATTAAGCAGTGGAATAAAGATGTGTTTGGTAATATCCATCATAAGAAGAAAAGGTTGATTGGTAGGCTTGAAGGTATCCAGAGGGCAATTTCTGAGCAGAATAAAAGCCATTTGGAAAAGATTGAAGGCAAGATAAGGGGTGAACTTGAACAAGTTTTAGAACAGGAGGAACTTTTGTGGTTTGAAAAGTCTCGTGCTACTTGGATAGCTCAAGGAGATAGGAATACAAAGTACTATCATACAAAAACAATTGTTAGACGTAGAAGGAGCAAGATCTTGGAGTTGAAAGATGATGCTGGAAACTTGATTAGAGAAGATCACAACATTGCACGGGTAATAAATGCTTACTTCTCTAAACTATTTTCTGAAGAAAACCATGATCGTCCTTGGGTCCAGACTCTTTGGCCAAAAGTGGACGATGAGACTGCTGTTAACTTAGGTGCTCCAATTTCAAAAGATGAAGTCAGACGAGCTTTCTTTTCTATGAAAGATTCGAAAGCTCCAGGGGAGGATGGCTATACCGCAGCATTCTACAAAAAGAACTGGGAATTTATTGGTGAACAGATTTGGAGAGATATCAAGTATTACGCAGAAAACCCTTCCAACATTAAGGAAGTCAACGGTACTCTGATCACTTTGATCCCCAAAGTTCCTAAGCCAATGTATGTTTCTCAATTCAGGCCTATTTCTTTGTGTAATGTCATTTATAAGGGTATGAGCAAGATCATTGTGGATAGGCTTAAGCTTACAATGGAGAATTTAGTTTCTCCTTACCGAGCTAGCTTCGTGCCAAATCGTCAGCTTCAGGATAATATTATAGTAGCAAAGGAGCTGGTTCATTCTATGGGGAGAGTAAAAGGAAAGAAAGGTACAATGGCAATCAAACTGGACCTTGAAAAAGCTTATGATAAACTCAGTTGGAGTTTTATCTATAAAGTGCTTATTGAAGTTCAGTTTCCTGATTGGATGATTGGTGTTATAATGGCTTCTATAACTTCTAATCGTTCGAGGGTCTTGATAAATGGTGTGGCTTCGAATTGCATAGTTCCTCAGAGAGGAATTCGTCAAGGGGATCCAATCTCTCCTTATATTTTTGTGTTGTGTGTTGAGAAGCTTTCCCACTTGATTGCTGAAAAATTGATTATGGGTTCGTGGAAGCCTATTAGAGTCTGCAGAAGAGGGCCGAGTGTATCCCACCTTTTATTTGCAGATGATGTCATTCTCTTTGCGGAAGCAGATATGGAGCAAGCTAAGGTGATTATGGATTGTATTAATCTCTGTTGTGAGATGTCAGGGCAAAGTGTTAGTGCAAATAAATCTTTGATTTATTTTTCCCCGAATACTGATACTCAAGTTGCTGCAAGGATTGTCAACAGAATGGGCTTTAAGCGCACTTCTAGTATTGGCAGATATTTAGGCTCTATTGTTAAACAAGGGAGATATATTAAAGCAGGGAGATATATTAAAGCAGACTATGGAGCTATCAAGGATAGGATACGTTCAAAACTGGATGGTTGGAAAAGCCATTGCCTTTCTTTTGCTGGTCGAGTTACTTTGGTGAAATCGGTCATTGCTGCAATCCCTTCTTTCCATATGCAGAATGGTCTTTTACCAGTAACGTTTTGTGATAAAATTGAGCAGATACAAAGGGCTTTCATTTGGGGAGATCAGGATAGCAGAAGGCGGGCTCATTTAGTAGCTTGGGATCAAATGTATAAACCCAAAGATAGAGGTGGTTTGGGAATAATTAATCTTCGACTCCAAAATGAAGCTTATATTCATAAACTGGCGTGGAAGGTGTTAACTAAGAAAGATGATTTATGGGTTAAGATTTTAGTAGCCAAGTATGGTAGAGGTCAAGACTTAAGGAGAGGTATAAAGGCAAAATCATATGACTCTAAACTTTGGCGTGATCTTGCTAAATGTTGGAGTAATTTCCTTGCTGGTCTTAGATGGGAAATAGCAGATGGTTCTGAAGTAAAGCTTTGGACTGATAACTGGTTGGGATGGAGGAAAATTTGCAGCAGTTGTCGAGCAATCAGGTGCCGTGGGAGGAGAGTCAGAAATCAATTGCAGATTACATGGTGGATGATGGTTTCCGTCTTGAAGTTGTTCATCAATTTCTGGAGTCAGATTTGGCTGATGCAGTAACAAATCATCTCAGGCTTATTCCAAGGAATGGGGAGGATAGATTAGTTTGGATCAATAATCATCACTCAACTTCTTTGGTTAAGGTCGCTTACTGTAATCTTATGAACTTCCCAGCAGATGTTCACACTAGCTTATGGAAAAAAGTTTGGTCGTGGAATGGACCTGAACGAGTGAAAGTGTCCAAGTTGTCCAAATCATGAGGAAACTATTATTCATGTTCTTCGTGATTGTAGACATGCTAGGAAAATTTGGCAATCTTGGTTTACAGGTTTGATACCCAATTCCTTTATGAATTCGAATTTGCAGGATTGGTTGACTTTAAATATCGATAACATGTGGTCCTCCAATAAAGTGAAGGACTGGAGGGATATTTTCTTTACTACTTGTTGGTTTTTGTGGAAGTGGAGAAATTTGGAGATCCATGAAGATCATTTCTGTCATGATGAGCAATCGCAGGCTTCAATTTGGATGTTTGTCCAACAGATTCTGCAAGCCCGAAATTATCAGCGCCGTGGTGATTCCAACGATAGCGTTTGGACAGCCCCCAAGCAAGGGTGGGTTAAGTTGAATTGTGATGGAGCTTCTTCTAGTGGCATGAAAAAAGCTAGTTGTGGTGGTATATTAAGAGATCACAATGGATCCTTTTTGGGAAGCTTCTATTGTAATTTAG